TAATAGGCCCTGGGCTCGCTGGGGAAGGTGGAGGGGGGTACGGACCCTAGGCCGCGGGAGTGGAGGAAGGGGTGGGCCCTGGGCCTGGGGGCTGCTGAGGGTCAGGGGTGGGGGGTATGGACAGACCAGGGGCCCACGCCCTCCAGGCTGAAGGCCACACTCCCCGCTCGCAGCCAGCTCCCAATGCTAGTGAGGCCCCGGGCGCCCTGGGCAGTGCTGGCTCCCTACCCTTCATGCTGAAGCCCTTTGGAGCCCAGCCCAGTCTGTCCCTTCGCCGGTATGAGTGGTCTGTGGGTGGGCAGTGTCCCCACTAGCCGGTGACAGATGCGCTGTGAGCCCCCAGGAGCACGCGCCTTCCACCAGGAGCAGAAAGTATGAGAACCTCAGTGGACATTCTTTTGATGCTAGGACTCTAGAATCAGACCGTTTTTTGTTAAATATTCAGCGCATTTTAAAAGCCTCACCCTTTTCCCATATGGACAATTTTTTTCTTAAATGATGAAGTGTTTTATTTAGATTTGGTCTTTCTTCATCTTTTGGAAACTCTGAATGCCGCAAGGTTAGCAAGTCATTATATACATCTTGTAATCCCTTCACATACTAGGCACACAATGTACAGGGTCATGCGTCAATGTAATATTATCAACACAGCATAAACATTTAAGCAGTAGATAAAACGTTTCACATAAAAGAGGCTCTGTGCATCATATGGCCTGACCCCACAGAAAGCAAACGTTAGAATGCCATTTCAGCAGTTACAGTGTTGGTAGAATCAATAGAGTTAATTTGTTTCATACCCATCATGTATTTCCATAAGACATCCATAAGGAAGAAGGAAGGGACAAAACCCGTTTTTCCCACGTGGGTAAATTGTTAAAAGTCGAAGATGACTTTGGAGTTCTCCCCATGGAAGTGTTTTCAAAACCCCTGCTTCCTTCCGGCCTCTTTCCCTTAGAGGCCTGTGGCGCTTTACCTGTGCAGGTGAAGAGGTCGATCAGAGTGTACCGGGGAGCTGTCCCACGAGGCCGACTTAATTAAACCACTTCCTTTGTCCGATATAAGCCCCGCTGGTCTGTGCAGCCCCAAAGAGAAATCCATTTTCAAACCTCTCAGTTTGTATTAATTTCAAATTAAGGGTTCTGTGTGGCGACAATACTCTTATCAAGGATAGCTTGATGCCAATTGATATGGTAGGGATAGCAAATTGTAAAACAATTGCTTTTACACACTCCAGTGAATTTTCTAAATCCTGTGATGAAATACTAATTTTTACAGCCTTTTGATTAGAAGTGTCTATTTCTCTCCCTATCGGTTGTTAAAACGGACGTGAGTCAAAACTTTGCCTTTACTTGAAGAGTAGGGCTCTGTGTTGCAAATGAAAGCCTCTTTTCAAACATCAGTATTTTTTCTCCTCTTCCCCACAGGTATGGTTCATGATGCATGTAGGTTTAAGATAACGTCTACCACCATTGTTTTGGGCTTTATTCCCCCCCCCCCCACACTCTGGTGCCGAAACCCGAGATTGTAGCTTACTTACAGTTACTAATGTCATTCTTACTAATGACCACGTGGCACTCAGATAATTTTAGCTTCAGTGATTTAAAATTGTGTGCTAGCAAATGTCCTCGAGGCACTTAAAACCATTTCAGTTGTAACGTGTTTTTATGCGTTTTTTTTTTTTTTCTACAATCAGGAAAAAGGCCTGTGTCATATCAACACTTATCTAGCAGCATGCTACAGAAGAGAAACTATGAGAATTTTATTGGGAATGCACATTATCGACCAAATGATAAAAAAACTTGATTTCCTGTTTCAGGTAAGAAAGGTAAGCATATATGATCTATTGATTTTAGTTCATTGAAAATAAACCATCTAGTTCATTCAGTAGAATATAAAGTAAAATTATTTTTGATTTTTAAAGTGTTCTTAAGACCTCCAGTGCTCAGGGTCTCCGGATATCCATGATGATGGTAACTAATAACAATAGTACCGACTGGAATTTACTAAGCATTTATTTCGTGCTCAGCCTGGAAGTGTTTTTATAATCATGACCTCATTTATTCCTTCCCACATGCCGGGGGGGGGGGGGGGGGGGGGGGGCATTAGGCCAGGGATTAGCAAACCTCCACCTGCTTTTATCTGCAAAGTTTTACTGGCACACAGTTGTGTCCATGCCTTTCCATATAGCTGATGGCTTCTGAGCCACATCAGCAGAGTGGTAGTTGTGACAGAGAGCGCATGGCCTGCAAAGCTGAGAATATTTACATTTACATTCTGGCTCTTTACAGAAAATGGTTGCTGGGTTGGGAGGTCCCGTGCACCCTTTACGGATGAGGGTACCGAGACTTGGGTCGCGTCCCACTCTTCTTAGTTCTGTCCTACCATGACCCAGAGCCTGGGCCCCAACCCTCATGCTTAAGAGCTTGTTCAAAACCTCGGTGCATCCTTACCTGTTGAGGGAGGGGAGCGGGACAGGAGCGCGGAGGTGCATTTTGACAACGTGGTTCACATGGCGAAGGTGCATTTTGACAACGTGGTTCACATGGCGAATGTATCTAACTGTAGATACACAGAAGACTCCAGCAGGACCCTCAGAGTTGTGTTAATTCCATTGAGTTAATTCCGAGTTTGGCCGCAGGGCCTGATGTCCGCCCAAGTTACTCTAGACCTCATTTACCAATAAATTGAATGGCAACAGCTGGGTTTATGGACGGATTTGAGTTCTCTCCCAGAAACGCTTTTCGTGTCTAACGCCCACCATGTCCTCCCGGTCCCGTGGCAAGATGTCTCCCTCTTGTTTGCATGTGGGGCCCATCGGGCTGATGCGGGTCTATGCTCCCTTCTCCCCTCACTTAGTGAAAGCAGGAGAAAGGAAGTGTTGTCGCAGGAGCGGGATTCAGCCTCCTCTCCACGAAAACAAAACAAATCGTTGATGGATTATAAGGCACAGCTAATTTGTAACAGCTTACTTGCACTGCAAGGGCACAGTCTGTCAGTCACAGAGGATGCCGCTGTCCTGTTGGTCCCGCCCCGGCCTCTTTCTGTAACCTCTGAGCATCTCTGCTTGCATTTCCTCTGCCTGGAACATCCTTCTGCATTCTGGGTGCCAGATGACCTCTCTCTGAAACGCGGGACCAGTTAACATCATTTCCTCAGGACGTCTGCCGGGAACCAGGGACTTCCCTGGCCGCTGCCCCTTGCTTGTGCAGTTCACCCCCACGTCTGCCCCTCTTACCTGTGTGCCCCAGTTCACTGCTAGCTCCGCTTGAGAGGAGATTGCTTTGTTCACTGCCTCGCCCGCTGCCGGGACCATCACTGATCAAACCCGTCAGATGTTGGCTGAACAGATAATGTTACCACCTTTCGGTTTCTTGTGGTGGCCTTTGCCAGGCTTCGTGTAACTGATGCAAATGCCGATTCTTGGTGAAATCCTCTTCGTTAAATCACTGTTCAGAATGTAGTAGTATCCTCTGGGGTGGCGCAGCGTTGTGTAGAGTCCTGGTACTCTCATTGCAACGATTTTTTTTTAAGGTTTAATTTGTTAACCTCCACCCCCATCGTGAGGCTTGAACTCACAACCGGGAGATCGAGTCACATGCTCCACCCACTGAGCCAGCCAGGCGCCCCTTCGTTGCAACATTTGAGCTTAAGGGGAACTCCTTGCATTTCTAGATCCCTTTGGTTCTGTTTATTACACTTCTTTATTAAAAGAAAAAAGATTTTCCCAAGCTGTTTTCAGTTTTATCTTGATCCGCTCTCTTGAACCTTTTCCCCCCGTAGGACCCGATGGATGTGTGTTCTGTCCATGAAATTGAGTGAGTCCATCCTTTGAGAAGGCAGATGGCGGAAGCTCGTGAAATAAGCTGTGACCGTGCCGTGCATGTAACATACCAGGAACACTACGGTTTTGTAAAGTTGTTCTGTTAACTTTTGTACCAAATAGCAATAAAAACCATAGTTGGAACAGTTGGGTTGTACACAAATGGAGACTGCAAATCTCTATTTTGCCCCTGAATAATATTTTTTTTAGAGTTGACCAAATAAGGAGTCTTTTGCATACTTGAGCGCTGCTGAACACAAACCATCCGGGTGGGGGGGCGGGGGGGGGGGGGGGGGGGGGGGGGGGAGAGTCTATAACGAACGCTTGCACCTCAGGTAACTCTGTACATACGTAAGTTCGAAACCTGCTTGTTCAGATACTGTGCGTCCCCTTTCTCTCTCCTGTAGCTCATCCCCATGAGCAGCTCCTGCTGTTTGTGTTCTTTCATGGAAAATGTATGTTTAAAAAAAAAAAAAAAATTCCCGATGATTTGTATTATGTTAAATCCTCCTCAGTGCGTCGTCTTAACAAAATTGTGAACGGAAGTATCGACCCTCTGTGACTATGTGCTGCATATACTGAGGTCAGCCATTCTGAATTCGGTGCCCTTTCATTGCAAGTGTCAGTCTGTCAACTGAGGAAGAGTCCCGATCTGCGACCCTTTTCTGAGAGCAGCCTGTGCCCCGTAGGGTTTTTAAGCGGACGTGTCTACAGAGAAGTGCGTCTGTCCTCTTCAGGACAGCCCCATATCCAGTAAACATACCAAATTCTATGTGGAGTTACTTTACTTTCTATCAAGTTCGTCACTTTTGTTGGAAAATTCAGGGTTTTTTTGGCTTTCGCTTAAATTGGTATGTAAAAAACCTGAAATGCTGAATTACACACGTGAATTTCATATATTGGGAGCGGTTTTAAAGGACGTGAAAGCGTTTGGGTAAATTTTAGGTTTGTATCTGGAAGTCCTGGTGTGCCTGGCCTTTGGGTTAACCGTGGACGTACACGAGTTAATTGTAGACACGTTGATTCTGAATAAGGAACTGCCTGCCGAGCCTTCTGGTAATGGGGAGGGTGCGATCTGGTTCTTGACCTCAGTTGTCTTCCCAGTTTTGGTTGTGTTGAGTAACCAGATGTAGTTTGGGTTTTAAAGCGAGGATGGCCACCAGCTGGCTTACTACCAGATGTTTTAGACTTTTGTTCCCTTCCACATGCTGTCCGTGGCTGAGTTTATTCAGCAGTACGTGGGTTTAGCAACCACAAGATATTTTATTAAGAAAACTGTTTCAAAAATAAATTTGCACTGTTAAGTTTTCTTGCCCTGCCTTTCTGCGTTAGAGCGAGAGTAAAGTCCTACAAGAATCCTGATTTTTTTTGTTTTGTTTTCATTATGCAACACGAAGCGTACTTGACCGAGAAGTCTTAACTCCCGTGGGAAAGGGAGACCTGATTGGTCTGTTGGCCTTGTGGTGAAGTGCTTTGTATCAGGAGAGACTAGTACACTATCCACCATTTTTCCTGTTCACAAGCTGAGCCATATGTACATAATCTAGATTTTTGTTTTCATAGTTTTGCACTTTTATAGCCTATTTTTGAAGATTTAACACATTTGCAAGATGATTGACTTGATCTTTGCCTAATCCAATGAGTGTTACAGAAAGCTCGCTGTGACTATAAGTGTAAATCTTTAAAAGGGGATACGAGATAATAGAGGGCTGAAATTTAAACCTGTATTTAAAAAAAAAAAAATCACCAAATCTATTTGAAAACAAGTCAATTCATGTCATGCTGAAATTTGGGTGGCTTTCAGATTTCTCTTTTCTAACCACATTTCTCAATTTCTGAATACATAAAAATGTCCTTTTTTCCACAGCCCTTGTCCTCCAATTTTTTTTTTTTTTTTTGTCCATCAGTATTAACTATTGGGATACTACTGGTTTTGTATGTTTTTTTTTTCCTTTGAGACAACAGTACATATAATAGAGGTACAATCCGTTGGATTTTTGTTTATGTATTTATTTCATTCCAGTTTGATTTATTTTAATTGTTGATACTTGTCAAACAGTAGACATTACTTGTTTTATTTATGATATATTTCAGCTTAAAGTTATGTTATTATATGTGGATGTAAATATAGATTTGGTGTTTTGCAGTCTTGGTTTGGGTCTTTATTGCGTCCCTCGTTTCTGCTTTTAACTTTTTAGAAATACAACTTTAAGCCTGCAGTTTAGTAGAGGGGTTCGTGTAATGAATCCTCACCCTCGCCAGCAGCATTTTTTTCTCCCCCGAGTTTTTTAAAGTGAGTCTCAGACACGATTTAGTTTCATCCCTACGACCCTTCACTGTGAGTCCCTAACGGATAAGGGCTTTCATGGTCACACGTAACCAACCACGATGTCCACACAGCCTTGCAAAAGTGTTGTCTTAGATTTGGTCAGTTGAGTTGTGATCGAGGCCCAAACAAGATCCACTTAGTTTAGAAGATCGTTTTTTATTTATTTATTTATTTATTTATTTATTTATTTATTTA